TGGATGTTGGGGATGTTTTGATTAGTTTTAAAAAGAGTTCTATTGGTTTCTCTGTGTTTTATTTTGGAGGAGAATTTTTAGAGAACAGTGCATTGTGGGTATCAGAGGCTGTTGCAGTTTTGGAATACCTGTTGGTAGAGAGAGAGCCTGCCTGTTAGGGTGTGAACTGCACCTCCTCTGTTGTCAATCTTTGCTTGCACCTCCGAAAGCAATGGCTGTGAGTCAATCTTCTGTTTTGGTGTTGTCTGTTTTGTTGGTTTATTTTGAGATTGTTTTTTAAATGTTTTTTGTTCTAGAAAAGCCATATTCTGAGTTTTTATTTACATAGCAACAGTTGCTACATAACTGCTTTTTAACTGAAGCTCAGGTTAATTCTGTTCAGACACAAGAGGTTTATTCTTTGTATTCAGAGCTGATGTATGTTTGTTTTTCTGTTTCTTGTAGTTTCACTCAACTTTTCATTGAGCTTTCTACACTACTGCTCAAGTTGTGTCAAGAAAACGTATTAAAGGAGCAAGACGCTCAGCTTCCTGGCTCATGAAATTGAGTTTGGCTTGCTGTTGGCCTACGTTAGCATACAGAGTATCTAACACGTAGTGATAACAGTACAGTAGTCAACCTATTGTTTTTGTCAGTTTCTTTATTATTCATTTACATTGGCTGTTCTACTCCTAATTGCACTGACTGAACAAATTACAGCTGCGCTGCGTTTACATGTTTGACCAAGTTTGGGAAGCTAAGCTAAGTGTGCTGTACTGGTGCAGACTTACCAAATGAATTTGTAACTCAGTACATTTATGTCTGTACTTAAAAAACTAAATGTTTAAAGTCAACTCAGCTCTATTTTTCTGTATCGAATTGGACAATACTAAACTTCAGATATTGGTCAAAAAGGTGGATTAGTGCATCCCTAAACAAACCTCCATGTTTTTCTTGGATTCATTTTAAAAAGAAACGGGTTCTTTTGCCCCGTTCTGGAGAATGACAGTGTGTAGAGTCAGCTTGTTTTTCCGTTTTGTTTGTGTTCAGTGTATACTCAGGATGCGGAATAACGTGCCACTGCGCGCCCGAGGAATTAAAACCCATCCCAGCCACCAGAGACGGACAGACAGCTGGTTTTATCAAAGAATGTGGGTCACCTTGAGGCTTCAATCACCTGAGCAGACACAGTCTAGCTGTCTAGCCGGCTCTTTTTGATGTTTCACTCACCGCTGTAAATCCTGCACAACCAGGTCAGGCAGTGACACTGCGCGCCATTTGGCCCTTTTCAGTCAGACAGCATTCCTTCATTTCCAGTATGACCTTTATTTCCTCCCTGGCATTATAAAAGGACAACGCTCTGCCCTCTGGACATTAACAGTTCGACAGAAGGTCAACGACTTGACCAACGTGCAGAAAAGCAACACAATCTTCCAATCTCAATGAGATTAAAAGTTGAAAAACAAAAGGTGTGCATGTATAAAGTAAAGGTTACGTCTTTGAGGTGTTAACCCCTTCAGACCTGACGTCCACTGGAATGGACATTATATATTTTTGGGTTTAAACAAATACAAAAAAAGGGATTTTGTCATTTGAATGATTCTTGCTAATGACTAACTTCTTATTGACCAATGACCAATAAGGCATTGGTCAGTATGTCTTATAATGACCAATTACATTTAACTACTAGTAAATGTCACTAGTTACCTTTACTCAATTAAATTTACTTGAGTATGTTTTTAGAAAAAAAAATATTTTAGGAGTATTTTTACTATGCTGTACTTTTTACTTTTACTTGAGTACTTTTATTATGAACAAGGTTTCCTCCAGAACACTTGCTAAGTCTGGTGGTTGGGGCGCTCGGGCAGTGATTCATCCAGTGGCCCGCCTTACACTGGGGGAAACCTTGTATGAAGTATCTCTGCTCTTGAGTAAAATTTCTGAAATTTTCTTCCCACTGAATGAAAAACAAACATGTTTTGACCAAAAATTCACCAAACACAGAAACACACCTGCAGTTTCTGTTAAAGTTTCATAAGAAAGAAACTGATTTGGACTTTTTTTTTTTTGTTACGTATATGAATTATTGTCATTTTGGTCATAAAAATAGCTGAACTTTCCACATATACATTTACATTTTAATCTGCCTGATAATGTAATTTTATAATATTAAATGATTGATAATTTGATCAGTCACTCAGTACTTCAGTAGAGTTTTTACCAAATACTTTTTTACTCTTACTTGAGTAATTTTTGGAAGGCTACTTTCTAGTTTTACTTTAGTAAAAATATGTTGAAGTATCACTACCCTGACTTGAGTTTAATTTGTGGGTACTCTGCCTACCTGTGCCAGTAATATTGGACATTGGCATCAGACAAGCATTGCTCTGAAACTAGAGATGGGGAGGAGTAAGTGTCTATTTTACATTAAAAATTATAAAATTAACTTCATGGTAGCCTATTAAAATTCCTCTTGTAATTTAAAATATTTCCAGTGATTGTGTTTGAAGTTATTTTGAAACCATTTCCCATCATTAAATTGCAGTTTTTTGTCAAAGCTGAATGTCCATCCCAATGGACATCAAGAGTTGGGTATATAAGCCAACATGCAAATAAAAAAAGTATCTGTAAACATTTTATAGCTTATTTGCAGTTCCACAAGTCATTTTTCTTTATTTTTATGTTTTTATCAGCACAAACACTGGCTTTCTTGAACTGCTTGTAAAATAATAATTTCTTTTTATTTTAATGCTGAATTGGAGAAAGATTTAGTTTTTTTGCTTTGTTGATAAAAATCAGGTTTAAATTGAATGGTTGCAGGTTGTTTTCTGACACTAGAGGAGATCTGAAAGGGCTTCCCAGCCTGTGAAACATTGGAAAATAATGTTAGGCAAATGAGCAAGGAAGGAAACCCTCTGCTCTCTCTGAAACTCTACCAGCTGTTTCTGTAACGCCTGATACATCAAACAGATGGGATATTTTCTCCAGCTCCTCTCATCCAGAAGAGTGGGTCTTTTGGAATATAAATACATTTTAAAATTATTTATTTTTCTCCTATCTCACAATCATACAGTGTTTTGACAAAAAAACAGTAATATACATTAAAGTTGGTAGCTGCAAAGTGAGAAACGGTGAAAAAGTCCCAGAGTTCGAATGCTTTGGAAAAGCCCCTTGGGTTAGAAAATTAGTATATGTAGTTCATATTTTGCCAAAAGTATTATAGTATTACTTCCTTTTTTAGCCAGTTCTGTTACAGTACATTCTTCCTGTTTTAAACTGTGGCTGGACAAGGGGGATTTCTCTCTTATTCTGCATTATTTTATACAGATTTGATTATATTATTATCCTCCAATCAAATTTTGAGCAACTTTATCTGGTTCTCTTGCATTTTTAGCTTTACATTTTATTTTATTTAGGTTCATGATCTACTTTTTTAGCACTATTTTTAATGCTAGCATTAATTAAATGGGGTTTTGTGTTTTATTTCTATTTATTCAGGTTAAACTACACTTTTTAGTGTTGCACAATTCTACCAAAAGTTATGGGTTTGACTCCAGCTCCCTTAATCGAGCTTAAGTTGCCTGTTTCCTATGTTGTTTGCATGTTTTCTGTTACATTTCACAGCATTAAATCAATTACCAGATTGTGTGATTGATAGATTTTTTTTTTTACTTTTTAGATTTCTAAATCTGTTGCAACTTGCAACAGATTAAACACAAAAATCTTTAAACTCAATTTATCAATTTAAATTACTGAATAGAACAAGAATTGAGGGTCAAAAAATGGGTACAAAAAGAGATTTAAAGGAACTTGGTGACAAAGGTTTACTTAAGTTTAAGAAATAAATAAATACACTACAAGAGATTAATACACCTTTGTTAATTACATGCTACGTCTAGCTAGCCCGAAAAGGGGAGCAGACATATTTTTACTTAACTTGTTCTGCAGTCATCACTGACTGACTTAAGAAATGAAAATAATTATGGGTTTAGAGTGAACTAACAGTTTATTGTTTTAAGTTGTGACAGTCATCCACCTTGGGAATCTTGTGGAGGTTTTTGCCATGAGTAATTGGGCAGTGATCAGACAAAAACTAGCTAAAAAGCAGCACCAGATCATGGTGTCAAATCAATACTGATGACAAACACTAGTCAATACCTACATTAATGCTAATGCTAAATGTTTTACATTTTTTAATGACTGTCCTTCCACTTTTCCATAACACACTGCTTTGTGTTGGTCTATCAAATCAAATTTTAATAAAACAAAATAAAGCTTTAGACCGGGAATGTATTTGGCTGTTTGGGGGGCCAGTAGAGGTCAGCCCACCCAAGGCACCATTCATGTCTGAGCCGCCCCTGCTCTACCTTTGCTTCAGTGATGGAGTTGAGTTTCTGTTCTGCAGCGCTAATATGACACACATCTTCAACTTTCACATGCTTACTATTTACTAAGCTTAACTTGCATAAACTCTACCCTTTTACTGTATCGCTCATTTTAGCCCACACCAGCTGAGAGCTTTAAAAATGCTGTTTCCCACTCACATACCTTACAGTCTTAGCAACAAATCACTCAACACATGCAATCAGTGCAACTTCTGCACCAGATTACACATTCTCTGATGGGAAAGCTAATGAAAAACATAAAGAGACGTTCAGGTTGTAGAGTGTAGAAAGGGTAATGGAATATTGGGGGTTATTTTTAGCTCTGAACTGAACGCTTAGCGGGTTTAAAACCGGGTGACATCGGGTTTGATATGGGTTTGTCTGCTAAATTTATTGAAATTTAGATTCTTTCAAATTGATTAAATTCAAACAACCTGTGGATTAACGCTCAGCTCCAGGCTAAACATAAGAAAGGAGGGCTCAGTTATATAATGAGGATAAAATCAGCGGCACAATGAACACGTCTAAACAAACCGACATCGCTAGCATAACGTGCGTTAGTCCTGAGCCGCGGCGGCAGCTGTTCGGTAAATCCCTTCACAGTCTCTCAGTAACGGTTCATCATTCCCTACTTACCCGCTTGTGAAACGTCAAATCGGTCCTCACACGGAACTTCACTCGGTGGTTTACCGGAGCAGCTGCATTTCTGTTGCGGGGTGAAGGTGCGCTGCTCGCGCGGTTGGTTTTATTCTGCTTTCCCTCGGAGTCTTTCCGTTACTCCCGCAGGAAGAGCGGCTGCCTCCTCTGTCAGTCACGGAGCCGAGCCGGCTGAGCGCTCGGCCGCCATCTTGGTTTTGATGGGAGTCCGCCGACACACACACACACACGTTCATGTTTACATCACGTCAGAGGACATCCCAGTTACCCACCGGCACAGAGGCGAGTATAATGTGTGAGTGTTTGGGGTCCCTCTTCCCCCAGCTTCTCAGCATTTTACTTTTTAAACCTGCATCCTTCTGATCTACAAATAAACTCTGCTGGGAACTTCTTGTTTTGTTCATTAAGGGGAAAAAATGCAAACAATTATTGATCCATTTTTCTAAAGCACCCACTGTTACCCAGTAATCAATGAAGGTGAGCTGGTCAGATCCTGATCCAGCAAAGCAACTTCAACCCCAACACTTCCAATTCAAGGTTCTTTTCCTGATTGATGTCTTTGGTTTCTGCCAAATATATCCCCCGTTCTGGTGTTCCAGTAATTCAGCTTCAAACTCATAAATCAAATTCAACAATATTACATTCTCTCTCAAAAACATCAATTTAATCTCTTTCTGATTGTACTTTGGTATTTTTTTTAATTTGTAAACCATCCTCTTTTAAAGCTTGTGGAGGTTCAGTATTTATAACATAAACATAATGAATTTTGTCAATCTCAAGTAGATTTATTGTTCTCTTAACAATCAGACAGATTTAAAATCTCTGAGGCAACTACCTGATATAATTTTGTTTTAATTAGTCACCTGGTGATGCATCAGCTGCAGCTCAGTTCGGTTATCTGTCCAGCTTTGGTGGAAGATCATGTCCAGATTAGCAATGATCTGCACCAGTTGAATGAAAAGTTTTAACTTTAATGCATGTATTTGGACACAGTATCAAGTTATATATCCAAAAGTTTGTTATTGAAGGCATATTTACGACCCTTCCTGAATTATAAAAGGTTTTTATTCTCATATAGAACCCTTCTTCCAGGATCAAAATTAGTTACATACATTTCAGTTTGTAAGCACCAGCAATAAAATATTACAATGAACTTCAGTGGATTTAAGGAAGCATCTAGACAGTGACTTTGCAGCAATCCTTCCTCCTTAACGGGTGTAGCTACAGTACAGTACACAATCCCTCATACTGAGCATAACAGTGGAAAGGAAAACTCCCTTCTAACAGCAGAACCTTGTATACAACCAACTCATTTTACTTCTTTATTATTCTTTTTTATACATCTTCTTAAATATTTATTTTATCCTTGTTAGTGAACTGAATGTTCTGTAAAATATTTACCTTTATAAATTACAAACCATCCGTCAGAGAAATAAAGTACGTAGTATAATATTTTTAGTAAGAAGTCACTTTTGAGCCAAAACATTCATTAGATAAGCAAACCCACATTAGCTTAGAAAATAGCTCTAATCTCTATGATTAATATCGACCATTACCTGGGATATATAGTTTCTAAAAAGACATTTTTCACATATTTTAAAAGGAAACTTAAACTAACGTTACATAGAAACTGTTAGAAATGTGTCAGAATAATTCACAAGTCTGCATTTAGTTGTTTGAAACTAAATGCTGTCTAAAAAACAATTTTAGAAAAAAATCTTTTTTTTTCTCAAATGGCTGGAAACAAGAGCTGAGCATGAGGCAAACAGGAAAACTATATGAAGTCTGTTGCAACTTAAAAATACAATAAAGTCTGGCTCCTTGAAGACAAAGAAGAAGGCAGTTCCAGAGACTCAGAAAACGCCAAGTTTTTTTTTTTTAATTTCTATTTCTAATCATTATTTATGCAACCCAAATGGAGGCTTTCACAATGCTTTTAGTCCAAACAAGACTCAGAATTGCTGTAATGCTGCAAATGAGGAGAAATTAGATATATTTTATTAGCTGGTGACTCACATTTTTTGTCACCAAAGTAAAAAGATGAAGCCGGTAATTTATGTCCCCACAAGGCAAAGAATCTCACTGCACACACAAACATTTCCCCCAGCAGGAGGGAGCTCACATAATCTACCTGATGCTGACAATTAAATTACCTCAACTCCTATTTGTTAATGAAACTGACCTAATTCTGGGTTTAATTAATGATGTAAACCCAGATTGTGTAATACTTTCCCTTAAACTTGATTTTCCTCCTATAAAGTGATGAATTGTTTCGTGTCTCATGAGGATAAACAACCCAATCAGTCAAGGGTTTGCAGGATTGTGTCATTTATGTTGAACATTTCAAAGCACAGCCAGAATTTCCATGGCTCCTTTTGGACTAAGTGCATCAGACAGAGCAGATAAATAAAATAGGAGCGGCTAACCAGGGCAGACAGCGCTGAGGAAAACGTCAGACAGTGAGGACAGCTTTTTCTCATGCTCACTTGTCATTCTGCATCAAAGCAAATGAACCCAAATGTTTGGCATAGACCATCATGACAGAAAACAGAAGTTTTTCCATTTTTAATTTTGGAGCCTGTGAAAAAATAACTTGTAAAAATGTCCCATCTGGCGGTCGTGAAGTAAGCAGGACAAACAGTTATAAGGATGTGTAGAGGGATAAAGTTTTGTAGGAATATCTAATAAAAAGATTTTTCACGTTGTGCCAAATGGACAGTCTAAAAGTCGTCACACTCCTAGATGCCTTTCATTTTAAAGGTGACCTATTATGCTTGCTTGAACATGAGTGATACAAAACATGTTCATCACATATTTTGCACAAAATCCTTCTGAGATAATGAGATTTCAGTCTGATGATTGAGCTGTTTTCATGCATCTCGTCACTTTAAATCTAAACAAGTTGCTGCTGGCCACGTCCCCAAATCAACGTTTACACTCACACGCAAAAATGGCTCCAAATAAATGTGAAATTATACAACCATACATCTTTGAAAAACAAAAGTGGAGCCTCCTGTGCAACCTACAAGAAAACAGGAAGTGGTTTCTGGATGGTAAGTCAACAACAAAATGCTTGTCTTTTCCAACAGCCATTGTACAGTGCATACAGTTGTAAAACCAGCTGACCACTTAAGCGCTTGGTTTGTTTTTAGAAGCAGTAGAAAGGTTTGAAGTACAAAAATGAGCAAAATGCAAATTTTTCATAATCGGTCCCCTTTAACATTCTTCAATATATTTTATTAACAGAGCAGCACAAATAATCATATAATTGTGAAATTAAATGAAAAAGATTCATGAAATCTGAAACGTGTGTTTATGCAGCTCCTCTTTATACTTCGTTTAGGGGGGGATTTGCAGCAGGTATATCTGCAAGTCTGTCAGTCATGCTGTATGAACCATGTTCATCCCCACCTTTCCTGTAACAATAAGTTGTTTCTCTGCCAATAGCGCATTTAGCAGTGAGTACATAAGGTTGATTGACTACACTAAGACCCGCCTCCTGGCCCTGATTGGTTGTTTCTGGTTTGCACTGGGAGATGCCAGAGGACCTCAATTTTTTTTTCACAGATTATCTGTTTCATACTGTGACGACCAGAGGTGAGCGGAGTACCCAAAATTTTAATAAGAGTAGAAATACTTACTTATTAGTAAGTAAGTAGTTCTGTTTAGTAGATAGAAGCGGATAAATCATTTGTCTCTATCAAAATATTTTTACCAACTAAAAAGTGTCCGTCCAAGAAATTACCCAAGTAAGAGTAAAAATGTATTTGGTAAAAAGTCTACTCAAGAACTGAGTAACTGATAAAAACTATCAATCATTTAATATTTAAAAATTACATCATCAGACAAACCAAAATATAAAGTTAAGTGGAAATTTAGGTATTTTAAAGACTGACATGATAATAATTTATATAAGTAACAAAAAATAAGAAAATAACAAAGAACATTTTCCTGATTTCTCATTGATTTCTTTCAATAAAAAAACTTAAGAAACTTTAACAAAAACTGCAGCTATGTTTCTGTGTCTGATGAATTTTAAAACATGTTTTTCATTCAGTGGGAAGAAAATAGAGAAATTTGACTCAGGTAAGAGTAAAGATACTTCATAGTAAAATTACTCAAGTAGAAGTAAAAAGTACATCGTAATAAAAGTATTCTTAAAGGTAAATTTTTTCAAAAAGGTTACTCAAGTAAATGTAACTAAATAACTAGTTACTATCCAATTCTGGTCATGACATAGTCCAAAAATATTTGTCTTTTAGAAAGCTTTAAATCTGAACAAATCTGCTCTTATTTTACCATAAAACTTTTGGAAGGTGGCCTGATTGTTGAATATGTTGGAGACTTTCCTCCCATCCTGTTCCCCACCGCAGCATCTTGGGAGTGACTCACTGCTCAAGGCTGTTCAAATTAATAAATGAAAAACTAACAACGCCTTCCAAATGGCCTTCAAGACCCATCCTGATCGATGCTAAATGAAATTATTGTGACTATTTATGAGATGGTTGGCATGCAGCAGCTGAGTTTTATTTTGTGTTGAAGGGCTGTGTGTGTGATGAAGCTGGCTCAAGCAGCTTGGTGGAGGTGGAGTGTAGGCAAAGTGTTTTCAACACATATGTGCAGAGTCATAAATCTACTACATGTGTGCTATATGTTTTGTTCTCAAAAGTTAGATGTTAGAAAAAACTGAGACTGGATTTTCACAGTTTCCACAAGACAAACAATCTGAAATTTTCTGCAAAGGCTGTTTAATTGGAGGGCTGAGCATATTTAGACAAATTTGTTGTGCTGCTGCAGTGATTGTAATCAAAAGGTTACTGCTGCCATCTGCTGTCTTCTAAAGCCCAATGCAAGAAATTAAACTCCACATGTAAGGTTTTGGTAAAATGAAATACCTAAATATTTATATTTACAGGCCTAAGGTGCCAATTAAACACAGATGCACCAAAAGGTATCTTCATAAAACCAGGGTTTTTTTTAGCAGATAGAAACAGATAAATCATTTGTCTATTTTTTTTTACTATTTGTTAAAAAGGTCACTATGTCATGCCATGATAGTATGATAATCTGTGAAAAATGTCTATGCCTTCTCCCAGTGCTAACTAGAAACAACTATTCAGAGCAGGAGGAGGTTCTTAGCGCTGTCAATCATGCCCATGTGCACACAGCTTTTTCCATGATCAGGTGATGCCTTTCTCTGTTTGATGCAACTCTGTGAAATGTTGAAAAAGAAAACATTGTTAGTTAAGTCGTACAGTATTGTTACAAATAACTGTGCCATGAGGGACTTTTGTCAGTCTTGT